TGCAGAAACAAGAGGTCCACTTTGACATTGGTCAGCCAATGTGGAAACACATCGTGTGGTGCATTTAACGCTACGTACATTAATACTGGGAATTTTAACATCCATTTTGAGAGTTTATAGAATTACCCGCAGACCCAATGTCCGTTCACTCGCGGTCTTGTCACTGGGGAACTCCCTGGATCCCTGTGGTGTGGCCGAACTGTCAGACATTCTCTGCACTGAGGTAACCATCTTGTTCATCCTTGCAGTGGAGCGGGGGGGATTGCCCTTATCCGGTGACGGGGCAAGAACGAAGTCAGGAAGGTCCAGTTTGGAGTCTGTGACAGTAGGACTGACGTGATCTGCTCCTGTTTCGGAGCATCGCTGCTTCTAATTGCCTGGAGCTGTGGTGCAGTGGTTCCCAATGACTGGAGTTTAGGTTTCACCGGGCACCTCACGATGTCTGGTGTTTCCTGGTTGGGGGGTGCTCCTCTCCTTCTCCCCTGTGGTGCTATGTGTCTTTTTCTGTTGGTTGCCATCCCTTCACAAGTCTTTATCATCAGAGGAGCTGCTGGTGTGTCCATCATGCAGCTGCCTCTTTGGCTGTGGAACTGAGCGGGGCCTGACATGTTTTCCTTTTGTGGTTGTTTCTCACCGGTATCCTCTCCTGCCTCCTTCATTTCCTCTTCCTCCATTGACTCCGTTTGTTCAGGTGAAAGTTGGTTTGATTGCTATGCTGTTGCGCTGGCTACCTTTTCCTCTTCTCTGGCCTGTCCCACCTTCTGGATGCCCCTCATTTCAGTTTTCTTGCTGGAGGGTGGCACCTTATTGACCTTTGTGGGTCCACGGCTCGCGTTGCCACTTCTGGCCATCTGAGAGAATGTGCCAACCCCAGGCCATCTTGGTCAGGCCTTGTATAGATGGCCTGCTTCCCCACACGGGTTGCAGCTCTTGGAGTCCTTGCAGTCTTTAGTCAGAGGGCCCTCTTGTTTGCAATTCCTACAGATGGTCACTTTGCAATCCGCTGCCACGTGCCCTGACCTCGCGCAGGGTTGGCGCACTCATGGCTGTCCTGTGTATGTCAGGTAGCCTTAGTTTCCTTCTGATTGCAAAGATTGAGGACAGGTGGAGGATATTCCCACTAGCATCCATTTTCAGGACCACTTTGACTTTCCACTTGCGAGTCCAGATTCCGAAGGGGTCCACTACATCGGTGCTGCCTCCTTCAAGCTGTACATACCTTCCCAGGAAGGTCAGGACATCTACTGCCAGGTCATGTGGGGGTTGTACATGTGGATTGTAATAACCCATCTCAATCTGTGCATGGAAAATGAACAATGGTGCCGCAGACAGGACGGGGAGGGGACCTTCACCTCCCTTCTCCTCAAATGGCTTCAGGAGATGCTCACATTGCTTCACGCTCCTGAAGATCACATCAAAGTAGCCCCCGCTGGGGAAGTCCTACAGAAAGAAAATATCTGCTGATTGGAACCCACAGCAATCCAGAAGGACTCTCTTCATGAAGAAGGTCCAGTTGACCGGAGATCCTTCCTGCACCTTCTTTGCAGTCTCTCTAACTGTGTCACTGATGCCCTGGCCTGGGCTGCAAACACTAGCAGAGGCCATAGCTCTGATTTTCTGGTCATTGAATTGGCGCTAGGCCGAAGCTAGCACAAAGATCCACCAACCGCAGCTCAGCTCAACTGACAATTTTTGCTCGCCATCATGGTGAAAGTTCTCGGCTCAGATTCGTTCTGAGAGAACCACCTTCTGGATCATGGTATCTCCCCTGCCAGGTAGTGGTGTCCATTTTACTGCCACTCTGGGATAGCGTATATCGGGGATACGAAGTAAGTGTCCATCCAGTCTCAGTTGTCTCTCTATCACAGAACTATCACTGTGAGGCAAAGATGAGGAATCTACAGACAGCTCCACAAACAAAGGTGCTCTGTGAAGCAGTCACCCAGCCTGCATTTAACTTTCCCAATGTGGAGGAGCTCACATTGTGAGTGGTGAATATTTTGTTCGATCAAAGGTAAGTTCCTTTCCAGGGGAGGATTTGTTTTGACTAGTGTAAATACCATGTAAATCGGGGATATACATGTTACCTACAAATTTATATTGACAAAGAGATTGAGGTCAGGAAATTCCAAGCATTTTATATCTGCTACGATCCTGCAACCTAAATGTGTCACCAAGCTAGGTACAAAAGTAAGTTTTCAAGAAATAACAAGTTTGTAAAGAGTTTCAGTAAGTGGGCAAAACTTTGATAGGTAGAACATAATGTGGAAAAATATGATGTAGGAGAAAATTACTGCAGATGCTGGAATCTATACGCAGGACAAAAAATGTTGGAAATCACAGCGGGTCAGGCAGCATCCATGGAGAGAGAGCAAGCTAATGTTTTGAATCTAGATGACTCTTCATCAGAGCTCTTATTCGAAACATTAGCTTGCTTTCTCTCCATGGATGTTGCCTGACCCACTGTGATTTCCAGCATTTTTTGTTTTCAGTGGAAAAGAATGAACTTGTCCTCTTTGGCAGGAAGAATAAAAAAATCAATATACTATTTAAATGGAGAGATATTGCAGAACTCGATGGTACAGTGGTATCTGGGTGTCCCAGTAGATGAATCACCAATTGTTAGCAAGCAGATACAGCAAACAGCTGTGAGAGCAAATGGAATGTTTATGTTATTGCAAGTAAAAAGTAGGGACATTTTACTTCAGTTGTACAGAGCCTTGGTGAGACTGTATCTGCGGTACTGTGTTCTGAGGAAGGGTCACCGGACCTGAAACGTTAACTCTGTTTTTTTTCACAGATGCTGCCAGACCTGCTGAGCTTTTCCAGCAACTTTGTTTTCATATTGTGTACTGTTTTGGTCTCCCTTGTGTAAAAACGGGCCTAATTGCATTCAAAACAATTCAGAGAAGATTGACGTGACTCATTTCATAGAATCATTTGAGGGGATTAATTTAAGAACACGGTCTCCCTTTTAAGACAGAGATGAGGAGAATATTTTGTTCCTCTCAGAGGCTCATTAGTCTGTGGACTTCCCTTCCTCAGAAAGCAGTGGAATCAGTATCATTGAATTTATTTCAGCTTGGATTAGATTTTTGATAGACAAGGGAGTCAAGTATCATGGGGAGTGGTGGAGAGACAGGAAAGTGGGGTTGAAACTAGAATCCGATTAGCCATGATCTTGCTGAATTATGGAGTCCTCTTGAAGGTCCAAATTGTTTACTATCGGTGAGACAAATAGCCATAGTAAATTTGTTTATTTAAAGCATTTATTGTGGCCTATAATTGATCATCACCCTTGCTTTTTTTAATACACTAGATATCTTTCAGGCACTTCTTACGATCAGAGTGCACACTTTCCTGTCCAATATCAAAGGGAGAAATAGTGAAATAGAAAAGAAAGATAAACAGTAATGATTACATGGTGGAACATTGCAGACTGCTCACTTGCGAACTTCACCTCTGTTGCTCTGCTTCCTCTTTCAGATCAGTGCAGATGTACAAATGATCAATCATTTCTGGGAGAATCCAAACAGACCAGGGATGATCTGGCAAAAACCTACTGGTTTTGATCCTCTACTGAGAACGACTTTAGCTCAATGTGACACTAGATTTAATCATGTAAAAAGGAAAGGTATGCATTTATGTAGCACCTTCCATGATGTCCCAAATTGCTTCACAGCCAATAATGTATTTTTTGACGACATGTCAATATCAAAGCATTCGATTTGCACACTGCAGTCTTCTACAAATGGGGGAACATTATAGTGACTAGAGAGCCAGTTTTCCCTTCAGTGATGGAAGTTCAGGAATTTCTTTTATCCCTATCAATTTTATAAATATTGGTCAGGTGCCCTGTGCTTTTCTTCAAAAGTGTCAAATAGTTTTTTTAATATTTATATGAGAGAATAGATGAGGCCAGATCTGAAAGGCAGCACGTTTGACTGTCCAGCTCCAATCAGTTTTGTAGTTACAGTGTTAGTCTGGATTTGGTGGAATGGGACTGGAACTATAACCTTCTAACTCTGAGACCATTGTACTGGGTGTACGAGTTACAGGTATCTTTATAAACTTATCGTTGATATTTTTTTCAGTGTTGTGACAATGCCCATCTCTGCTAGTTGTGTTCTCTTTACAGTGAGTATTGTGGAGAGGTCCTGCTGAGCACAGCTTACATTACAACTTCTTCAACCATTTGTTGCTTCTCCCTATAGCAGTTTGTGTCAGCCATGAATCTTACTGATTCAAAAGTTGCTGCAAACCCCAGCTGCAGTGGTAAGCATTTAATCTAATTGCATTGATGTTGTTTTATTCCTGAGGCTACCGATCAAATAACTACTGCTACTATAACCCATTAAGGAGTGGCTACTGGCAAACACTGGGTGAGAAGCTGAGAGCCGACCAGAATTTCCAGCATTACAACAAGGGAATGCATTATAAAGAATACTGCCTTTGTTATAAAGTGCTTTGCAAACATCCTGAAAGGTTCTGTATAAAGATGCTTTAGGAACATAGGAAAACAAGAAGTGGAGAAGACCATTCAGCCCTTCAAGCCTGCCCTACTACTCAATATGATCTTGACTGATCAAACACTACAATGCCTTGTACCCACCGCATCCCCATAACCTTGTATATCACTGGTAATCAGCTTTACGTAAATAATTTCTGAACACAGTCCTCCATTCATCTTTCTCTGCATTCCTGCCTTCTTTCCCTCTCTCTTTCTTTCCTGTCTTCCCTCCCTCCCTTCTTTCTTTGAAAGGCACCCCATTAATGCAAGACTTCTAGTCTTCTTCTCTTCATTTCAAATCTCACAGAAATGACGCTTTTTATGAGAAGCGACTGAAAGACTTGCATATCTGAAGTGCCTTTTATGAGTCCAGGAGGCCCCAAACCTCTTTACAGTAGGTGAAATATACTTTGAATTGCAGTTACCATTGTAACATAGAAAAGGCAAAGTATTTTGAATTGTAAAGCTGCTTGGAAAATTGACAGGTCACCTGTGCCTCCGCTGATGGAGGTTTGGACACACACATCGGGAACTTTTGGGAAAGCATCCAACTCTTTGATGATACTGGGGGATACCTTCCTGCTGAATCGCCTTCTCATCTTGTGACAAGTCGTCTTCTGAAGCTTCTGTCAATGAGTTACTGTTTAAACCCCAGTCCCTAGATCGCAGTAACTGCTTTGCTCCAGGAAGCTGCCCCAAACACGCAAGACAGCCGAGCAGAAAAAACTTGCACTTCACACACCAACTTTACTCCTTAAAATGCTGCAGACTAAACTTTAAGAGATTTCACGCTTGTATATCCGGAAGAATGGGATCTGGTCATTTAGAATGATGAAATACAGTGACAGCTTGACATTAGAATGGAGATATGAAAAATAAACTGAACTACAGAGGGTGGGAAAATGATACCTGTGTTAAAGGAAAGCTAGTTCCCATTTTTATATCACTGATTGAAAGAAAAGCAACAAAAACAATTATTTTTATTAACTGTGTTCCTATATATAAAAAAAAACACAAAATGCCTCAGGGAGATTGTAAAAAGAACATGCTGTAATATATTCCTGGAGTTGCTGAGTTTCACAGCTGCACATTAGCCAAGGGTGTGACAAAGTAACCTTTGTATTTTTCAAGAGGCAAGCATTTCCATAAAAGAGCCTTTGTCTGTGAGAAACAGTGTATGAATAACGAAGGCAGGTTAAGATGATGCATTCTGGTGCAACAGTAGATGTGGGTTTAAGGTGCACACCTGATGTGTACTCTTCCTGAAGGAGGGAAGTGGGCTGAGGTTCCTTGTGGAGCGTAGCCTCACTCTGCTTTGCTCTGGAGTCTGGTAAAGCTCTCACTCACTCTGATTTATGCCACCATGCCAACAATAAAATCTTGCATTTATCTAGCACCTTTAATGGAGTTACAAGACGCTTCATAAGAGCAATAATTTGATTAAATTTGACATCGAAATCTGACAGGAAATATTAGCATAGGTGACTAAAAACTTAGTGAAAGAGATGGATCGTAAGAAGGAGAGAAAGGTACTGATGCAGTCTGGCTTTAGGGAAAGATTTCCACATGTAGTGCCTAAACAGCTGAAGGCCTGGCCAACAATGGTGGACTGAAAGAGGAGGCTGCACAAGAGACCAGCTTAGGGAGAACTCAGACGTTTTGGAGGTGGTTCCACTTATAGATGGTGGAGTGAGGTAATGAAAGGGTTTGAACATGATGCTGAAAACTTCAAAACCCTGAGGGTTATCATGTAGATATGTCATGTAGAAATGGCTTGAGGAACATGTTGGTATAAAGGCAATGATGTAATACTCTCCCCGTTAAACAAGTTCACTAAAGGCATCCTTTCTGCCACTGTATGATCTCACTCTGATTTCAGTCTATGCTACATGTGTTGCAACTCTAAGTTTTCAAACACTTTCATATGCTCACCAGTCCAGGATCAATGTAAAAGTAACCCTCAAGGGTCCTTTCTTTACTACAAATCATCTTCTTAAAAGCCTCTCTTCTCTACTCTCACCTCTAACAACAAGTGCAAAGAGTTCATGGAAATTTTTTTGGCACTAAGATTGAGATAATCAAATCAGCTGCCTCTGGTGTATCCCTTCATTCTAATAGCTCAGCTGGCCAAATGTCCTATAATGCTCCCTGCTGCCTTAACCCGAACCCACATCTTTTTCTAGTTTCTCCTCTATTTCCTGTCACGCCATTTTGTCCATGAGACCCATCAGTTGTCCCCTCAATTCTCATCCCAATAAGCTTTAAACCACCCAACTCTTCCTATTGGCTCCCAGGTTTGTTGACATTGTAAATGATTCTCTTTCTTCAGCTGTTGTCCCTTACTCCTAGAAATCCGCAGTTGCCATGCCTCTCCTCAAAAAAATCGACATCCCACTGTCCATGCAAACTACCGTACTGTTACCCTTCTTTTCTCTAGTATCCTTAAAATCATTGTAACGTCTTAAATCTATTCCCATTCTTCCTGGAACTCCCACATTTCAATTCCTCTGAGTAGTTTTCCATCCCTGCTATGGTACCAAACACAATTTATCAAAGACAGACTGACATTTTATGTGACCGTGACAAGGGTAAGCTTTTCCTCCTTGTTCTTTTTGACCTGTCTACAACCTTTGAAATAATTGACCCTATCATCTCCTCCACTCCTTCGCATTGTTATTGAGTTTGCTGGGATTCTCATGTAGTTTCATTTTAACGTATTTCATTATAAGCATGCAATGGCTTCTTATTTTATTCCATGCCACAACTTCTGATGTTCCTCAAGGATCTATCTTTCGTTCCCTTCTAATTCCTAGCTCCATTGCCCAGTGATATCATCTGAAGTCGTAGTGTTAGTTTTCACATGTACTCTGATGATACCCAGCTCTACCTCACCCCTACCTCTCTCAATTCCTTCACTGCTTCTAAATTACCAACACTAGATGTGCTGAAATGTCCTCCCATTAAATATTGGGAAGACCAAAACAATTCTGTTCAGTCCTTGCCACAAACTCCATCCAGCACCGACTTCATCTTTCCGGCATTTGGCTGAAACTGAATCAGATTATTCAGAATCCTGGTGTTAGATTTGACCGCAAGGTAAGGTTCTGAATATAAATTTGGGCTAGCAACAAGACTGTCTGTTTTCACTTCTGTAACATCACCCAACTCCACCCTGCTAGATCCCATTTGTTGCTGAAACTTTTATTCGCTCTTTTGTTATTTTGAGACTTGGCTATTCCATTGTTGTCCTGTCAGCCCTCCCATAATTCTACCCTTCTTAATCCTGAGGCCAACAATACTCTGCTGCTCACATCCTAACTCACACCTTGTCCTATTCACTTATCACACTTCTGCTCGCTGGCTAACATTGGCTTCAGATCAAGGAATGCCTCAGTTTTAAATTTCTTCCTTGATTTCAAATTCATCCATGTTTACCTCAATGTCTCTGTATATTCTCCAGCCCCATAATTCTCTGAGATATCTGCCTTCATTTAAATCTAGCATGTGGTGCATCTCCAGTTTTCATTGCATCCCCGTTTGTGTTGTGCTTTTGGCTGTCTAGCCCCAAATGTGAGAATTCCTTCTCAAAACTTCCTTTCCTCCTTTAAGATGCTCCTTGAAATTTACTTCTTTGACCAATCTTTTGGCCAAAATACCTAATATTGCCTCATCTGGCTCAGTGTCAGAATTTGTCTTATATCATTGCTGTGAAATACTTTGGAACTTTTAGAGGTTCTTTATAAAAACAAACTGTTATTTTTGACTCTCCCATCTATTCTCTATTAACAGCAGTTAAACCAGGCAGTACTGTGGGGTGAAACACAGTCGAATGATTCATCTTTTGGTTGGCACATTGGGCTGAGACCCTCTTGGGGGATGTTAAAGGCACCATGGCACTATTCCAAAGCCCAGGAGTGGAACTCACTCTGTTATCCTGACCAATAATAATCCCTGAACCAACATCTCTAAAAAGTAGACGATTTGTTAATTATTACATTGTTGTTTGAATTTGTTTGGTCTAAATCCCCAAATATCAATTGTGATTATACTTTGTATTGGTGTTTACTGAAGATGAGGATGCCGACTCAATACTAGTAGAAGAAACGATAGTAAAGGATCAGAGTGTAATTTGATTTGGAAAATTTGGTGGAAAGGCTGGCTTGGTGGATAAACTGCTTGTGTGAAGTAAAAGACTAGATGGAGGACTGGTTAGCCCAAATGGGTAGATGGCTTGCGTGTGGAGCAGATTAATACCCAACAACACTGAGTTCAAGCCTTGCTTTGGCTAGATCTGTTCATCTTAACCAAAGCCCCCCAGAAATAATCACAACACTTAGCAGTGGTTTGACAAATAATGGCCAAGGACTAGCTTTCATGGGGAGAGATGGCAGTGCAGTGGCAATGTCATTGGATTAGTAATTGGCAGGCCCAGGCTAATGCGTTGAATACAGATACAAGCAGATACATGGGAACACCACCACCTTCAAGTTCTCCTCCAAACCACTCACCATCCTGACTTGGAAATGTATCAGTGTTCCTTCACTGTTGCTGGGTCAAAATCCTGGAATTCCTCCCTAATGGCATTGTGGGTCAGCAGCAGTTCAAGAAGGCAGCTCACCACCACCTTCTCAAGGGCAACCAGGGATGGGCAAGAAATGCTGGCCAGCCAGCAACGTCCACAGCTCACAAATGATTTTAAAAAAGTGTTCAAATCCCATTTAAGGCAGCTGGTGGAATTTGACTATTAATTAATAAAATCTGGAATTGAAGATTAGGCTCAGTAATGGTGATCATGAAGCTATCATCAATTGTAAAAACATACTTAAGTTCACTTATGCCCATAGGAGAAACAATTCTGCAAACTGGTCAGGCCTATACATGACTCCAGACCTAGAGCAATGAGTGCAGAGAGGTAAAAAAAAGGTTAACATTTATCAAAGGTGAGGGAATGTATTGAGAGAGTAGTTAGCAAAACATGTAGGAATTTGGGCCTTCATAAATGTGTATACTGAATACACAAGATAAAAAGTTATGTTGCACTTGCATGAAGGTTTTTTTAAAGCCGCAGTTGATGTATTGTGTCCCATTCTGAACACCACACTTTAGGAAGGATGTGAGCTTGAAAGCTGCAGAGGAGATTTAACAGAATTGTTCTGGTTTAAGGAATTATAGGTACAATCATAGGTTGGAGAAGCTATGTTCTCTGAAGAGCAAAGAAAATTGAGTGACGATTTGAGAGATGTACAACATTGGGATAGAACTGGACAAAGCAGACAAAGAAAAACTGTTGTCACACACAAGCTGATGCCACAAAGGCCTCACAAACTCAGGTTGATGGTTTTATGCAAAGAGATACAAGGGGATGTGAGGAAGGACTTATTTTACACTGTAAAGGGCATTGACCTATGAGGGTGATGGAAATGGTGGTGATCAATTATTTCAAAAGGAAATTGGATGGGTACCTGAGGGAATTAAACTTGCAGGGTTACAGGGTTAGAGTGGGGAATGGGACTGACTACTTCAATCTACAGAGGGCTGCAATGGACTTGATAGATGGAATAGCCTCCTTTTGTGCATTATGACTTATATAAAGCAATTACTTTGAAATGTTCCTTGAGATACATTGTTTTGATTGTTAATCTTAAACAGCCCAGATATCAAGTATGCAGCTCTCTGGGATGGTTAATGTAGGCATTCTTGTATCTCCTATGGTTAGAAAATTGCAGGAACATCAAATTGATTGATTGTTCTGAAATGGTGTACTTGTTAAAGCTGTTCCAGATCGAGTGTAACAGTGACTTAGTCATCACCCTCGTGAGGTTTAATTTTCAAACACAAAGGAGTCACCATGGAAACGCTTTGGATGGCAGGCCTGTCATTTGTGACCCTTGAAAAGA